CAAGAAAGGTTTTTAATGACTTATGATTATAAAGGCAACACAGACAGAATGTGCCTAGCGACTTTATGTGTACTGTAACCATCCCCAACCAACACAAATTCATATGCAATACTGATACATTAATCAACTATAGTTTACTAATTTTAACCTACCTATTAACTTATTTAACAACTTATAAACTTTTATTGACTTTTATGATAAACTTGATGGTAACTTATACTGAAGACAGGCAGAGCGACTTGTAAAGTTTTTATGATTTATAAACTGCTAACTTCACCAATGCTGTACCCGGTTTCAGCAAGGCACAAAACATATACAGTTACTATATATTGATTAACTATTGACTACTACTATTTTTAAACAACTTAAACAATTTACTAATGTTCTTAAACTATGGTATTAATACAGACTTAAGATTAACCAGCTCGAGCATAACCAGACCTTTTTAGTTCAAAATCTTACCCTGCTTTCGTCCGGATACATTTACATGACCATTTCCTGCACTCGCCAGGTACAGATAGTCAGTGAAGCGCAAGTCCCTTTGGTTCAGGGGGTGTATGTGAGCCTGACAAAGAGTGATCTCCTTTAGGTCAACACACACGTCTCTACACCTATTTTATACAGTATTTGCTGGCCGTGTTTCAAAACAGGTCAACCAATCAAGGTGGCCAAATATTCTAGGGTGGTATTTGCGGTTGTCTTGAACTAATGAACTGTGCACCTGTGCCCAGCTCATCTCTTCTCTATGCGGCTAATTGTGGTCAATTTTCTAGACTCAAAAAATGCTCGAGTCAGCTTAAAGAGGTATTTGGTTGCAGAGCATAGTAACCACAAGCCTGTATCAACCTTTACAGGGTTTCCTTCTTAGTCTATAAAGCTTCCTAGATGGATTAAGCTTATGCTTGCAGGATTCTACTGTACTCGCTTCTTACAACTTCCCGAAGTTTGAGGCCTACCAGTACTTAGCCTGACACTACTTGACAAGGCTTATGCATATTAATCACATCCCCCCCGAGACCTAAACTTCCGACTTAGCAACAACAATATTTATTTGAGTATATTCAGCAATAAGAGGGGGCAAATAGTGAATGCAGGCAAACGTTAAGGCCCCAGCAATAACTATGGTAAAACAGACTAACAATCCCAGAAGAATATGTGGGCCTAGGAATGTTAGGTCCAGGACCTTGACTGAGGAGTGTAGTATTACGTGAGCCTTAGAGGCATTTTCAAATAATTAATATATATGCATAGATATTTGTATGCAGTGTTAGTAACCCAGATTATGACTGGTACTAACAGGGAATTTGTTTACCCAATTTGTAGTTGCTGTATAACTTAATTTTTTTACTAATTTGTTTTTTCCTTGCCTTTATGCTGTTTGCTGCCATTCATGTGTTGTAAAGAGTTAGGAAGGTTATGCACATTGTAAATGTTGTACAGCAATAATACAGTTGTTTTTACAAAATAACCAAGCTGACAGTTTATCCTGGTTCAGCTAGTAATTTTTAGCTGATTGTTAACTTAATTGTCCATATATGGTAGATAGGTGTATTTGACCAGTTTTTTATTTATAAAGCACTTCACTTTTCTTTTCTTGATGCTTGGGGATTTCTTCACTGTATACTGATATTATCTGGTATTTTTGTGGTGTGATATCTTCTGATGTCTTTAGTCTGTGGGATACAACTTAAACATCTATTTAGTTTAAAAAAAAAAAAAAAAACCTTTATTATGTTAAGTATTCCAAATTTAATACATAGAGTAGGGACCAAGTTTTTTATAACCCAAGCTATACTTTTTGCAATTGTTGTATAGACATTCATTTTTATTTGAGGTGCATTACTAATATTTTATATTAAATGTAATGCTTAACAGCTAAAATAAATGCTCACAATCTTTCATAAGAAGGTGTATTGCTTTCCCTTGCTGAACACTTTGTTTCAGCAGAAGAGTCAGTGACATAATTTTAACAAGCCTTTTAGAGTTAATTTTCTTTTTGATACCAACTTTACTCGTGTTAACTGTTTAGAAGCATAAACTTTAACAACCATTGCTTCTCATTAACATAACATAACAAAAGAAAAGCGTATAAAATTAAACCAACTATAAAATTAAACCAAAATAAATTTTAAATACAGATCCATGCAATTACTTTGAGGGTATTCAACTTTTATGATGCTTTGTTATGTTTGGGAGCCAAAGGTGGAAACCTGTTGAAAATGTAAAAACCTGTTGAAATTATTTGGTTAGCTTTATGCATAAATTGTTATTTTTAAACATTTTTACTATCACATTCTTATAACTATATTTAAAAGTACAAACAAGTTTATAAAAAGCCCACACAAGAAATTGACATTTTGTTAATATTATCTTTACCTTAATGTTGAGGTTTCCCCTTAAATTTTTTCTTTGAATAACAAATAAAAAAAATTAAAAAACAAAACAAAATTGAGATTGATAAAAGAGAATTCTTTGCAATTGCATTATTTCTTGAGGCAGAAATATATGTACATATATTTGTAACTGAAACCTTTTTGAACTTTGCATGAAAAAATGGTGCTAATAATGCTAAGATTATACCCAAACCATGATCTTAAATAGTGTGGTACCACATATACATATATTTTTAAAAGGGTATAAAATTGATTTTTGTTGCAACAATCATAAAAAATAGTCACGTGACACACACACAACATACAACACTCATGACATACAGGACAAACTTACAATTAAAAACAAATGGCGCCAGAATTTTATTTATAACTATACAAAATAAGGCAAACTAAAATATAAAATAAACAAAAGGTTTAAACATCTAAATAAGCAAGTTATTACCTTGTTATTTAAAACTTTTAATAAAAATTGATAAAATTTATATAATTACTTGCAAAATTTGTTGTATTATTTAGTACTTAAGGCATTTTTTGTTACTTCATATTTAATATTATTTTAAAGCTTTGCTATATGGAAAAGAGAAAAGCTCATGTTTCAAATATTAGTTAGTGGTTAGGATTAAAAACAGAGTGTGCCTTTTTGCTGCTTGGCAACCATATCTTCAAGAAAGTTAGGAATAATTCCAGCTGTTGCATCCCTGAAGGGTTAAAATAATTAATTTACTGGATTTATGTAAAGTAACATTTTTTACCTTGTTTTTTCTTTGTTTGTTGGTTTGTTCTGTTTTCAATGCTTTATCCTTTGGAGGTTTCTGTAAAAACTATAACTTTTAAATCAAAGTGAGAGAGCTTAAGTGAGGAAAGGCAGGGAAAATGGGGGGGTGAAGCAGCAGCAGCGAGTTTTGTGAACTGAGCTGCAATGAGGAGAGGCAGAGGAAATGGGGGGTGGGGGTGGAGGAAGAGCAACCTAGGAAGGTAGCGAAATGAAAATACAGGCAGCAGCGGCGAGTTTAGCAAACTGAGAAAGCATATAAAGGACAAAACTTAACCGGTATGTAAAAATATTTAAGAAAGAAGGGTACATTTTTAGATATGAGCGCAGAGTGTGGTTCCGTGGGTTAAAGCAGTTGGGAACCTGCACAGTTGGGAACTGCGCCCCTGGTTTTTATTCTGTCTTTGAGAGTGGGGGTAGTTACCTGCTCTTGTAAAACCTGAATTTGTTCCCCCAGTGTTTGTTGAAATTTTTTTATTCACTCCCCTGCGATTGAGTCACAGCTCCTGTTTTCTAATGTGCTTTGTGAACTGTTCCATTTTTTCCTTCATTTGATTTACCAGTTTAGTGAAAGTATTGTGTGCTACTTTTTTCATTTGTGCACTTACTTGTTCCGTTCTGACAGGCACCAGTCTAGGTCTCAGTTTAAGTTTAACCTGAACCTGGCATTTATTATAAGGTGGTGGTTGCAATGCAGTGGACCCAGTTTCATCTTTTAATTTTGCTAGGGCCACCTTTTTCCATTTCTGTCCCCATTCTTCAGGCACAGGGTAGCTACCTGAAGCCTGTTGTTTACCAAAATTATTTATAATAGGGGACGGCACATGTACTTTTTGTAGGTTCCTTGCAGCTATTTTCAATGTTTTATTCTGTTCCTGTTCTGGCTGTCTCTGAGTTGCTTGCCACCCTGCAAGGGGAGTGGGAGCAGTCCACGGCTGTTACTGTTACTTGCCCCACCAATTTTGTGGCATGTTGTCTTAACCATTTAGCAGCCATGGTTAGTTTGCAATATTTTAATCAGACCATAAACTCATTTAGCTAATCATTAAATACCACGGGGGTATAATACCTTACAATTGTGGACCAGCCACAGAACTTCACTAATGGGATGTTGGGGTGCAGAGGGCATTTGCCTGAGCCGGATGATGGGGGAACTTGAATGAGGAGACGGTGAGTTCCAGTGCGCTGGGTTTTGGAGATCACAGAACACCTAAAGGTAGCAAGACAGAGGGTAAAACCCCACCATGGATTTGTCCCAGCTGGATGTCTTGTGCTAAGAGAGTCATATCACATCCGGACAATGCCCTAAACCCGCCCCCCCTCCAACAGCGACTAAGGCAGTATTAGGCCAGGAGCAGCGAGACCTAAGGCTGGACACCTTGTCCTCTGACCTCTCCATCCCACTGGCTCCCCTTTGCCAGCCGCTTCCCCACGCTTCCATCTCCCTTCCCCTCACAGATCCCCACGACCCCCATCTGCTCTCTCTTCCTCCAGCTCCCCACAACCCCCATCTCCCCTCCTCACACAGCTCCTCTCCCGCCCCCCACAATCCCCAGCTTCTCTCTTCCTCCAGCTCCCCACACCCCCATCTCCCCTCCTCACACAGCTCCTCTCCCTCCGCCCATCTCCGTTCCTCCCACAGCTCCTCTTCCGCCCCCCACAACCCCCAGCTTCTCTCTCTTCCTCCAGCTCCCCACCACCCCCAGCTGCCCATAAGCGCCCTGCTGTCCCCGCCCCCGGCACCTTTCCTCTCCACGTCCCTCACTCCACCCCTCCCCCGGCACGTGACGCGGGAGCGCTGACGCCGCGCCGTGCCCTAGGGGAGCTGCCGCTGCGCGAGGAGGAGACGGTGGCAGCAGCGGCGGAGGTGGCGGCGGCGGGAGTCGCCGCGCTGAGGCGGGAGCGGAGTCGACGCCCACCCGGGTAAGGTGGCTGTGAGCAGGGGGCTGCGGCGAGGCAGAGCGCGGGGACCCTGCGGGTGGCCCCGTTGGCTGGTGGGAGGCTGCTGCTCCCAGGGACGCCCCCTGGCTGGCTGTGGCGGGAGGGGTCTCGGACGGTGCCCCCGAGTCCGTTCCTGGGGGAGCCTGGGCTCCTTGTGCCCCCAGCCCTGCGGTGCCCGAGGGCGGGGGTCCTAGGGGTTGCCATGCGGGGCCGAGCTGGGGAGCCGCCTGGCCCGCTGGCCTGGCCCAGACGGTGGCTGGGACTAGCCGCTTGGAGGATCCCGATAGCGGCCAGTTATGGAATAACCTGCCCATAGGGGAAGTTTCTTCCTGGCCCTTGCCCGTGGCTGGCTTGTGCCCGGAAGCGTGAAGGCATCTGTCCCTCCTGCGCTGTTGTCCAGGGGCTGTTAGACCCGTGCGGTGCGGGGCTGGCCTGTCCTGACTCACCATAACTCCTGGGTTGGGTAGGGGCAAAGTGAGTGACACCAGCACTGCTATCCCCCTGCCGTCCCTATACCGACAAGCTGGCAGCGAAAGACTTTCTTGTGTTGAAAATGTGAAGTGATTTTGTGTGTGTGTGTGTGTGTGTGTGTGTCATGTCACGGGCTGTGCTCAATACTGTTTGGTATGTTTTTCGTAGTCCTTTGTGTATTTACATACTGCAGATATACACGTTCACAAATTAGTCAACGGAGCTATGAATGTCTTATGTAATTTTGTTTCACCTGTTAAAACGACTCCTAAGGCTCCGATCAAAACAACTTAAATGCTAATTGAGATGGTAGCCATTACTGTATTTTTCAGATGTCCATGTTGAATGGGGACTCTAACACGCCCTAAAATAGTTTGAATGCTGCTTGTTTGTATGATTTAATCATAGTGTATAGACACAGATTTGCTCAGCTATTTATAGCTGGTCATTCCAGTCAACAACATAACAAAAGTGCACAGTGAAAGGCAAGGGGCTGATGTTAGGCTGCATGCTCATTAATATGTACAGTTGGTGAAAAGTGGCTTTTAAAAGTGGCTTTGACAACGATTTAAAAAATATACTATGTACTCAGAAGTCTATAGGCTGAGTCAATAGACAATTATCAGGAAATTGGATGGTTACTGGTTATGCTTTTAATTTTTAAGGAAGTCTAAACATTTGGGGGGGAGGGAGCTTATTCTGCTTGGGAATTCCATTTGTCTCCTAATACTAATGATGGTTTATGTCTGAGGAAGGGGGTAGAGGAGTAGACCTGTTTTTTAAAGGGCCTGCAAGTCCCTACTGTCCACATTAGCTGTTTGTGTTTCATATATATATATATATATATATATATATGTGCATGCTAGCTTGAAATGATTTTTGCCTAAAATTCTGTACAAATAACTGATGCATGTTGTCAAGCAAAACTGTTCTGATGAACTTCAGTATGTGAAATTCATTTCTAACAGGGCAGATGTGAGGGAAAATGGTCTTATAGAAAGTATGGACTTGAGATATTCTGTGATGACATTTTAAAAAAAAAAGTAGCTTTTTGGATATTATAGAAGATTTCTTTAAATTCTGCTCCTAACATGAACACTTATAAAATGCAGAATATATTGCCGACTTCCTTTGTTATTGCCCTCAGTCATTGAATATATTGAAAAGCTTTAAAGAGTGATCAGCTAATTTTTGTTTTTGATCATGAAAAATAAGAAATAGTGCCTCGTTGGAGAAATTTGAATAAAAGACTAAATTCATCCCTGATATAAAAAGAATTACACAAAGGATTTAATTCTGTCCCTAAACTAAGTATATCCTGGGACCATATTCAAGAAATGCTGTTGCAGCAAATGTTTTTGAGGGTGCTGAAAGGACAAACTCAAGGGGAAAAAATCTACTATGTAGAGATAATTGGGTGGATTTTATATTTCATCTGGCCTTCAGTTGGTAAGAATTTATGACAGATGTTCTCCAATATGGTTTCTGTGGATGACTTTCTTGTTTGTGCAGCAACATCATTAATGTATTCATCGCAGCTGTAGGGAATAATGCTTGTCAATGAAATATCTATTGCAGAGGTGGTACAAGAACCAAGCCATTGTTTTTGTGTGGCTCACATAAACAGTGGCTATTGTTTGGGGTCATAACAGTAGCTCTTCAAAAATACTTCTAAAAATCTAAGTAATTGTAAAAACTTTTCTGATATTCCTCAAACAACTCTTGGGAAAGGAGTCCAGTTCGTAGAAGCTTAGGGCATGGCTACACTTGCAAATGTAGAGCGCTTTGAGTTAAACTAGCCTTCATAGAGCGCAGTAGGGAAAAGCGCTGCAGTCTGTCCACACTGACAGCTGCAAGTGCACTGGCGTGTCCATATTTGCGGCACTTGCAGCGGCATTGGGAGTGGTGCATTGTGGGCAGCTATCCCACAGAGCACCTCTTCCCATTCTGGCTCTATGGCTTGTGGGAAGGGGGCAGGAGGTGCGGGGCATTTGGGGTCCTGTCCCAACGCCCCATGATGCATCGCTTCGAATCCCAGCAATCCCTCTGCTTCCGCAATTGGCACCATCTTTCAACGTTTTTTTGTGCTGCGCGCTCTGTCTTCCCTTTCGGTTTGCGGGAATGGAGCCTGAACTGCTGAGGAATATGCTGACGAGCTATTGCAATCTGGAAGCTGGCAACTCCAGACAGCTACTGATCGGTCGCTAACCAGTTTGGAGTGGGGAGTTGACTGTTGGAATTGTGTTGATGCAAGTTTGCAGGGCCATTAATCCCATCCTGCTCAGAAGAACCATGACTCTGGGTAACGTGCATGACATAGTGGCTGGCTTTGCACAAATGGATTTCCCTAATTGCGGAGGGGCGATAGATGGGACACGTATTCCAATTCTGGCACCAGCCCACCTAGCCTCCGAGTACATTAATCGGAAGGGGTATTTCTCTATGGTTCTCCAGGCACTTGTGGATCACCATGGGTGTTACGCAGGCTGGCCCGGAAAGGTGCATGACGCACACATCTTTCAGAACACTGGCCTGTTCAGGAAGCTGTAAGCCGGGACTTTTTTCACAGACCAGAAGATCCGCGTGCTGTACTATCCATAACATTTGTGAAGGGAAGGGTGAAAGATTAATTCAGGCATGGCACTCAGAGGTTCAACACCTGGAGGCTGAATTTGAACAGCCAGAGAGCAGGGCTATTAGAGGGGCCCAGCTTGAGGCTGCAAGGATTAGGGATGCCTTGAGGGAGCAATTTGAGGCTGAAAGCCACCAGTAATGTCTGGTGCCCGGCACAGGAGTGAAGTGCAGTGGTTCCAATGTGAGTAGTAATCTGTGTTTGCTACGTATGATACACTGACTTGCAGTGCCTGTTGCTTTCCTGGGCTAAGGTATCTTTTACTTTATGCAATAATAAAGAATGTTTTCAAAGCAAAAAAATCCATTTATTGGAAAGAAAATGCATTTATTGAAAAGAAACACAACTGCTTGGGAAACAGGGCAAGGGGGTGGGGTGGGGAACGGTACAATCACAGATTTGCGTATGTCCTGTTATCATACTCAGCCTTCCTGTCTGGAGTGCTGTGCAATGAGTGCTGCACTTCAGGATGGCTATACTGCATGGTGATGGGGGTTGAGTGCAGTGGGTAAGGGTCGTAGTTTTCAGGGCTGGGTGGTGAAGTTACAGGTGTTGGAGGCAGCTGGTGGCGATAAGAACCCAGATGTTGGGGAAAGTGGGTTGGAGGTGACATGGGGGCACAAGGGAAAGAGTTCTGGTACAAGGGCTGCAGGGCCGGGCGGGCGCGGTAGTGCTCTGCCTGCATGGCTACGAGTGCCTGGGTCGAGTCCACTTGGCTCTCCATGATGCTTATCAGCCGCTCCATGCTTTGGTGCTGGCGATCCGCATTCTGCTGGCGGACCCTCCTTTCACTCTTCCGCCACTCCTGCACTTTTTGATTTTCATTAAGGGAGTGGTGCATGTCCTCTTTTTGCTTCTACCTGGCCTCTTCCTGGTTCTTTGCAGCCTCTCGGCAGGTGATAAGCCAGACGGCTGAGATCTCAAGGTTGCATCTGTAAAGGCAAAATGCAACACTTAACAGAGGCAGCATTGTTCACACCAGACAGAGCAAGGATTCCCCCGTACTTAAGGAGGGCAAGCACAATCTACACAATAGCATAATTTGCTCGTTCCAAAGCGAGCGCACATAACCCCTGGGAGCCCCAAAATGGTGAGTAAGCACAGGGTCAAGGGGGACTGATTCTTTCATGGCTGTACTGTCCTCCGGGTTTCTGTGCCTTGGGGAGAGCTAACAGCTGCAGGGGGCCCCTATACTGAACACTGTCCCCACATTTTCCACAGGAGTTCGTCCTGGAAGATATCTCGCTGCTGAGGTGACCTGGGAAGCAAGGGAGGGTCTTCTACTACAATGTGGCTTCCGCCCTGGCCCATATGCAGCTTGCCTGTGTGCAGCAATGGTCCCCCCCGTCCCTCATGGCACAGTGGCGCGGGCATGTTAGCCTGACTGGAACAAGGACCACAGTGGCTCTCCCACGAAACCTGTGCAAGTGCATTGCCCAAGTTCTGGATGAGACCTTTGAAGAGATCACTGAGGCCGATTACCGCGATGTGAGAGAGCACATCAACGCCCTATTCCGCATCTAGGCATGCATGCAGCCCTAACACTCCCTGCCCCAAGAGCTCGCACTGAATAACTTCCTTCCCAAAATAAACGCTGCTTACCGGGAACCTCCTCTGGTATTTGTCCTTCCCCAAGCACTGGCCGCTGTGACTGGCTACCTTCCTCCTGGCTGCATGCATCTAGGGATGATGGGGTGTCTTCCTCCTCCTCGGCACCCTCGCTCCCGCTTTGCTCCTCCTTCTCCTGCCTTGTTGGACTGGGCTCTGAAGTGTCCAAGGTGGTACTCAGAGTGGAGGTGGGGTCGCCCCCCAAGTATTGCATCCAGCTCTTTGTAAAAACAGCAGGTCATGGGGGCAGCAGCGGAGTGGCTGTTTGCCT